GTCTGTCGCAAGGGGGGCTGGCCAGCTGCCGGGGGCAGGCTCGGCGCCAGCCCGGACATCTGATCGCGCACGGCACTTGGCCGGCGGATGCAGCGCTCGGCCTGCCCGGTGTCACGGGCCGGGGGAGCAGCGGGGGCCGTGTCCCACCAACAGTGGAGCAGGCGGCTGGGGGGGATGTGTGTTGCTGTCCGCCGAGGGGCCGGGCGGGCGGGAGGGCGCGGCTTGCTGTGCCCCGAGCAGCCAAGTGAGGCAGTATGTGTGTGTGTGTGTGTGTGTGTGTGTGTGTGTGTGTGTGTGTGCGTGTGTGCGTGTGTGTGTGTGTGTGTGCGTGCGTGCGTGCGTGCGTGCGTGCGTGCGTGCGTGCGTGCGCATGGCTGGCCGGGCGGATGCACGACTGACGGCGCCGGGCGGCGAAAGGGGCATGTGCATGGGCGTGCCTTCCCGGGGCGAGTCGCGGCCACGCCCAGGCCCGGGGGCTCGCCCGCGACTCGGGCAGGCTGGCCGGCCGGAGGACACCCAAGGTGGGCCAAGCGCGACGCCGGAGGCCGGAGCGCCCGCAGCGGGCGGCAACGGGCGCAGGTCAAGCACTCGGCCCCGGGGGCCTGGCGCTCGGGGCCGGGAGTTCGACCCCGCGGTGCTGGCTATGGCCGTGCGCGGGTCCCGAGGCGTGGCCTGGCGCCTCAGACAACGAGGCTTCGGCAGCTCGGAGGCGATGGAGACGCGCGCCCGGGGGCGATGGCCAGCCCGTGTGAGCAGGCGAGTGGCAGCACCAGCAGCAGTCCGGAGACCGGGTCCAGCATGGACCCTGTGGCGGCGCCGACCGCGGTCCCGGGCATGGGGCCGGGGCCGCCGGCCGGATCCGGGGGTGGCCGCATGTTGCGCCGGGTGGCAGACAATAACACCGGACATGCCGCCAGTCTTGGAAATGCCTGCCGCGCGCCGGGCATCCCCCTGGCCCGGGTGCCACCCGGGCAGGCCCCCTCAGGCCAGCTCCGCCCCAGGCATCAGAGCGAGGCGCACCTCGGGGAGGCGACACGCACACGCTGCCGGCATGGGGCGGGCCGTGCTGCGGCACAGGCGGGCGGGCGGGCGGGCAGGCGCAGCGTCGCGGCTCGTGAGACGGACACTGGCCCCTTCGGCGGGGCGCTGCCGCCCAGGGAGAGGGCCGGCCGGCGGGGGGGGGGGGGGGGGGGGCGAAATGGCGAGAGCAGAAGGCAGGGGTAGGATGGAGAGACGAGTATACCTGCGAGGCCCAAGATGCGGGCTTCGCGGTATGGGTCTTGTGCGGCCTCGCCAGCGGCTCCAGGGGCTGGAAGGGGCCGGCCCCGGCTGTGGCTGCCGTAATCAGCCCCAGGGGATTGGCCCCGGCCGAGGTGGCGGTGATGAGGGGTGACGCCCCGGCCGAGGCCGCGGTAATCACCTTGGTTGACCCGGCCGCCGGGGCTACATTCACGTCTCGCGGACCGGCGCCCGGCAGGCCGATGGGATTCACCCGGAACTTTATCGGAAATGGCTGGACGCCAATGCCGCCACCGCGGCCGGGCGTTTCGGGGGGATTGTCACGGCCACCGGCCGGGTCGCCGCCGGGCTCGGAAGCCGGCGCCGACGAGATCACCGAACTGGACGACTTGCCAGTCCCCTCGGCGGAGATGGACTCGGACCCGAGGGGGCTCCCCTCCGGCCGCAGGGTCACTGACAGGCCCGGCGACACGGCGATCGTGCGCGCCGGCCGCGTAATGGAAATCTTGCGGGCAAGGAGCTCCGAGCGAGGCCGAGGCCCGGGCTTACGTCTCGGCGACAGATCCGGCCCCGTGTGCGAGTCGGACTTCTTCACCGGGTCCACGCGCTGGCCCATCGTGGTCGCCAGCTTGTCATCCTCGGGCCAGAAGTGCGTCGGCTCCGGCAACAAGGCGGAAGACACGGCCTCCGAGCCTGGCTCCGTCATCCCCGACGCATAGGGAGCCGCCGGGGGCAGTGAGTTGGAATGCGGCCCGGGGCCCGGGGCAGTAAACGGCCCCGGCCTCAGCCCCGAGCCAAGCGGCCCCGACGACGACGACGGCGGCGGCGGAAAGCCCCACATGGACATGAGCGAAGACATGGCCGCCGCTGGGCCCAGAGCCCCGAAGGCCCCCATGGCCGCCATGGCCGCGGGGTTCATCATGGCCGCCATGGTGGCGGGATTCATCATGGCCGTCGCCGGGGCAAAGGGGAGCCCGGCTCCAGGAGCGCCATACGGCGCGCCCGGGAAGGCCTGCCCCGAGCCGAGCAGCATCGTCGATTCCGGTGTCTGGTGTGGGAGCAGGTCGCCTCCCGGGTCGGAGCCCCTGTGGGCCATTTCCAAGTGCGACGAGCGCTGGCCCTGCTGCATTTGCTGCTGCTGGAGCTGAATCTGCTGCTGGAGCTGAAGCTGCTGGAGCTGAAGCTGCTGGAGTTGAAGCTGCTGGAGCTGCTGCTGGTGGAGCTGCGCCGCCGTCGCCATGCCGGGCAGAGGCTCCGGCGGATGCTGAGATGCGGGCAGCGGGCTGGCCGATGGACCCGCATTTAGGGACCCATGGCCGGGAAGCCTGGGACTGGCAGCCTGTCCCAACGGGGGGACCGATGGGCCAAAGTTTAGGCCGACCGCCGGTTGCCGCATCTCTGGCATGTGCTGGGCAGCGGACTGAGAGCTGGCATCGACTTTTGCCGCCTGGAGGGGGGTCCCGGCGCCGGCGTCCCCGACATTGCCAGCCGGCAGAGGGCTTGGCAAATTGCCCGCACAGTTCCCATCGGGGGAGATAGAGAGGGGAGAAAGGACAGAGGGGGGTGTCAGTTGCGAGATCTTCCCTGTACATAGGATGGCATCCGTCTTTCAGGAATAGAGCAGCGAGGCAGAGGGCGGGGGCGGGGGGGGGGGGGGGGGGGGCAACGAACCGGCCTGGGGAGGCGACTTCGGAGGGAGCATGGGCAAGGGAATCTGGCGCCTCGCGCGCCCCGTGGTAGGGTGTCATATGTGCGCGGGAGGGAGGCCGAGAGGCGCAGGACACAGGGGGACAAAGGAGGCACGGGGCCAGGCGCAAGCAAATTAGAAGGGGCGTGTGTGCGTGGAAGGTGCAAGAGATCCTCGGGTAGCTGTGTGCCCAAAGGCGCCCCATGTAGCGCCGGTGTACGGCGGATCCGCTTGAGGCAGGCGCCCCTAGGTGACTGTCTGTTTGTGTGTTTGTTTCGAGTTTAGTCTCACAGGAGCGCCCGCTGCCTCTGTTGACTAGCCGCGAAGCGGTTTCCCCCCCCCCCCGCCCGGCCCGGGGGGCGCTCGGCAACCGCCCTGGCGGCCCCTCGGATCGCCATGTTTC